GGTGCTACCACACATACTTAGCCTCGGACTCAGGTGGAGCGCCTTGGACTAGTTGTAGGGAAAGGTAAAGGTAGGCGTCAAGGCTATCAACTCACCTCCCCAGCCAGTGAGTGGAATAGCTAAAGAAGTACCGGTGAAGCTTGGGCCTTACGAAGGAAAATTCAACCTGTGAGTGGTGATCATAGATGACTTCGAGTTGATTGTTTGGGCTGGAATTCCTAAAGGCAAACCAACACCATGCCTGTACCATTTGCAGACATGCTACTGATGATGGTACCATAGGGCCAAGCCTGCATTATCCCGTGCCTGCCATGAAGATGGCCGTTGAGAACATCTCGGCCTTGCAGTTGAAGAAGGGGGTCAAAGGAATGAAACCACGTTCCTGGCAACCCCTCTGTATTGAAGAATAGAACGCTCCTCGGGTCCCATTCCTGAACCCGTGAAGGAGTTACTACTGGAGTTTGAAGATGTCATGACCACAAGACATGCCAAAGCGGCTCCCGCCTAGGTGCACTGTGGACCATGAAATTGAGTTGGTGCCGGGCGCGAAGCCACCTGCCCGGGCGCTTTACAGAATGAACACAACCCGAACTCACCGAGCTTCGGAGACCATTGACGAAAAATGCTTGATACAGGGATCATTGTACCCTCCAAGTCCCCATATGGGTCCCCTGTTCTATTCCAAAAGAAACATGATGGCAGCCTGCGACTCTGTGTGGATTATCGAGCTCTAAACAAAATCACCGTGAAGAACAAGTACCCTATTCCCCTAATGACGGACTTGTTTGATAGTCTGGGTGTGCTACGGTGTTCACCAAGATAGATCTGAAGACAGGTTATTGGCAAGTTCGGATTGCAGAGGGTGATGAACACAAGACGACTTGTGTGACAAGATATGGGTTCGTACGATTCCTGGTCATGCCATTCGGCTTGACCAACGCCCCTGCTACGTTTTGCACTCTCATAACCAAGTCTTCCGAGAGTACGTCGACGAATTTGTGGTGTCTACTTAGATGACATTGTGGTATATAGCCAGACATTGGAAGAACACTAGTACACTTGCGGAAAGGTCTAGCTCGGTTGCGAGAAACATGAACTATATGTAAAGTTATCCAAGTGCTCCTTTGCTCAGAAGCAAATTGATTTCCTCGGACATGTCATTGAGGAAGGACGCATCAAGATGGACCAACAGAAATCCAGGCCATCACAGATTGGCCGACACCTAAGGATGTCCACGCTTGAGGGAGTTCCTTGGCCTATGCAACTTCTACCGGCGGTTTGTGAAAGAACTACTCGCTTATCGCAGTGCCATTGACAGAACTTCTCAAAAGGTCACACCTTGGGATTGGGACCAAGGAGAGCAGAGGTCTTCAACGGCATTAAAAGCGGCTATGTCTAGTAGTCCCGTCTTGGCCCTTCCTGATTTGGCCAAGCGCGTTCGAGGTACAAACAGATGCTTCTGACTATGCACTCGGCGGAGTCCTGCTACAAGAAGGGCACCCTGTAGCGACGAGAGTCGAAGCTGAAAGATGCAGAGCGGCGCTATGCCGCCCATGAGAAAGAATTATTGGCTGTCGTCCACTGCTTGCGCCTCTGGAGGCACTATCTGCTGGCAAACCCCGTTCGTGGTCAAGACAGACAACACAGCTGTTAGCCATTTCATGACCCAGCCGAAGCTGAACGGTCGATCAGGCCAGGTGGCAGGAACTCCCTAGCTGAATTCCACTTCAACTTGGAGTATCGCAGTGGAAAGACCAATCATGTTGCTGATGTGCTCAGTCGGAGAGCTGACCTAGCATCGGTGTGCCTACTCGCCACCCTAAAGGGGAGCGAATTAGCCACATCCATCAAGGACCAAAATACGGGATCTACTCATCAAGGATCCTGCTGCTCAGTATTTGGTTATTTGGTAGGACAGGGCAAACTTCGCCAGTTCTACATGGAAGATGGGTTTCTGAAAGTAAAAGGGAACCGACTTTAATGTTCCTAAAGGAGGAGATTTGCGGAGGACTCTTCTAGCGGAATGTCATGATACTCTGTGGCCGGCCCTCCCGGTGAAGAACGCACCATGGCGTTACTTCGTCGTGCCTATTATTGGCCTCAAATGCCGATGATGTCGCTCAGTATGTGAAGACTTGTCTAGTATGCCAGAAGGACAAGTCGGACCGCTTGAACAAGCGGACTCTTGGAACCACTTTGTTCGCCAAAGAGACCTTGGGAAAGCGTTTCCTGGATTTTCATCACCGGATTGCCCAAGGTCGGAGATCTTACAACCATCTTGGTTGTGGTGGATCCACTTCCTTGGCATTCCTAGCTCCACTGTATGGCTTTGGCATAGGAATTTTCAGCTTCTTGTCGCGGAAGCGGAGTTCACAACACCTCCGATTTGGTTTCCACCTCCTCGGAGTAGGCCCTGTAAAGCAGCGTTGACAACATTGAGTTGGTCTGTCAATTTGTCAATGGTTTGTTGCATGACAGTCACCTTTTCTGCCTCTTGTGCCCTGTGGGCTAAATCCTCGGTGCGCTCCTGTTGGAGCCCCTCGAATTTCTCAAAGATTTCGGCTGCCTCTGTGGCTGCCGTCTGCCGGTCTCCCTCGGAGTCGCGACTGATGTTTTCAACGTCAACTTCGACCTGAAGCACCCTGCGGTCCAGGTCGTCCAACCTTTGCAGTAGGCTGGTTCTTAGTTCAGGCACCGTATCCATAATAGGGCGCCATACCTCAACCGTCCCTTCGAGGGCCGCAATGCGGTCCCCATGATTCACCATGGTCAGAAATGGTGGTATGTCAATACGTTCCCTCGTCCGATGTCGAGCCTAGGCTCTGATACCAACTGTTACGCGGCGCCTTCCTAAGATTCCTTGGAAGGGCAACGTAAGGCTAGGCAACTGATGTCAATGCAGTTGCTGTCCGCCAACTGAGGTCCCCTCCGTACGCTAGACGAGATTGTCAGTGCCGTACGGGAAAACCAATATCAAGAGCAATTGAGAGAACAGAAATGAGAATTCAGAATGAAAGAAAACTTGATTGGATTAATGAAAGCTATTACAGAAAAGCAACGCGGTGTCAAGGGGGAGAGACACCAGTACAGAGAATTGCTTGCTTGCTAAAAAGTTTTGATTGCTTGATTCCCCTTAATAGTACTTAAAAAAAATAATCCAAAGTTACAGGACTAGACTTGATTAAGCTAGAGAAACATAATGGAAGTACATGAAATAAAACTACTCTATATTTACAATGAAAATGACTTAGTTTTCTATAAGGCAGCAGCAGGTCCGTTGTCAGCAGCAGTGTCTTTGGCATCACGGTCTGCGCGCGCGGCGCTGTTGGCTTCTGCCTGCGGCTTGGCGCTCGCGAGGGATATCGGTGGGGCGACAGAGGCACCTGCGCGCTTGTCACTTGGCGCGGCCAAGACCACGGGGCCGTCCGTGGCGCTAGGCATTGGGAGGTTCGCTAGGACGCCACGGGACGCGCCCAAGGGGTCATGGGGCATGGCTGAAAAGCCGCCCATGACAGATCACATGTGCGATCCACGAGAAATCCCGCAAGCTGCACAAAGTTAATTTGTTCGATTGCACAAGGCAAATCCGAGCTTTGTTATGGTTTGAGACTCATTGACCCTAAAGGGCATAGGCTATAGATTCGGAAATTACATTTGGGATATTTAAAGAGATTGTAATGGTGGATCCAATGGGTGTGCCCAAAGATTCAAAGAGCGTCTTGTACTATTCTTTTTATTCATGGTAGAAAACTAAATTCACTTTCCTTCTGCCCCGAGAATATAGGCTCGACCGAACTCAATTAAGTTCTTGTAGTATTTCTTCTTCTCTTTTTATTTTGTATGTGTGATGGGTTAGTTAACCATTGTTATTCCGCTACAAATAGTCTTTTTTCTCAAATATAGTCTTTTTCATCCCACTTTTATTACTAATGATGTTGTCCGAATAGTATATATAGCTTTAACCCCTTAAACAACATGGCATACATGCAGGGGCGGATTTACATGGACCCGAGCGGTGTCACGGGACACCGCTTCATCGAATTTTTTTACTATTTATATATATAAAAATAATAAGTAAAACAGAAATACAAGATAAAACCATTAAAAGTGACACCACTTGCAATAAAACAACTCTGTATTCTAATGGTTGACAGCTTCATGTTTGTTGTGAGAGGTCCAGGGTTCGAACTCCCTTGGCTCCTCGTGAAAAAGTGACACCCCTTATGAAAAATCCTGCGTGTCTTCAATTGAAGCTTCACAGGTACTTAAAAGATTCGAAAGACCTAGTTAAATCGAGTGTGGCAAAGGGTTCTCCTAAGAGAAGCTATCCAAATTCAATGCCCAAGATACTGATCGACCATTACATGGATAGGCAACCACCACGCTCTATCATGCTAGCTATCATATCCATCGATCAATGCTCTCTATTTTTCTTTTAAATAATTAATCTGAAAGTAGAACAAAAACTGTAATGGATTCATCAACAACAATAACGACACAATGAAATCTCACTATTGGAGTCTCGGGAGGGTAGTGTGTATGCAAACCTTACCCCTACCCTGGGGGGTAGAGAAGCTGTTTCCGAAAGACCCTTAGCTCAAGAAGACGAATATAGCAAATATCAGTACCATTAATAAAAATCATAAATAAATAAAAAACAGCATCATAAGAACCAGGAAATAGATGGAAAGCACAACAATAACCAATAGATAAAGCCCGGCTCTAAGAGGAGCTAAAGAGTAGTGAGAACTCAACACTAACCACTATCAGTCCAAGAGAAATCATCATAATCTAAATTTGTGAAGTATATTTGATTCCCTTTTTTTTGGGTATGAATATTGAAAAGCAAGGCTGTTTTCTAGACTTGAGTGCAATGCCATATCTAAAAGACATGATTATTCACGCTTAATCAGTAAAGTGAGTTGGCTGTGAATTACTTAGTTCAGTTTGGCTCAGCAAGAGATCACCATTCTCTCTGTAGTACTTTAGTTACATCCTTCTTTTCTTGTTCATAAATATAAAAACAAAGTACACAGACACGGCGAGATATGTTTTTTATTAGCAGAAATACATTCTAAAGATTCATCAAACAAGAAGATTTATTTTGCTATATATATCTTATTGCTGTCACATTGTCATCATCCCAACTTAGAGTAAACCATATTGTTTACAGCAAGCAATGGCTCCATCATACATATCTTCTAGATTGTATTTGAACTTGAACCCAGTGTCCAATAGTTTCTTGGAAGAAGGGCGTGGGAACTTGAATTCTTTAACAACTGCAATTGAAATAGAAAATGACGATTCCTTCAGAAAAACAAAGTTATTTAAGTTTTTTTCCTCAAAGAAGTCCCGTAATAGTTTTCACTTTCGTACGTACATTAGATATAATTGTAGTAACTAAAAGCAACGCTTGAATAATTTGATACTTCACCCAATTTTTTTATCTGTTATTTTTGCCACAAAAAGAAAATTAATTGATCCGCAATATTTGTCCGTCTAAAAAATTTAAAAGGTAGTATTAATTATTTTGTTTCTGTTCTATCCTTACTACTAAGAAGACAGAGTCATGAATTATTCAATTATGGAAGAGATAAGGATAAGCTAGTCGAGTAATTAATGCTAAGGGCAAAACAGAAAAATTAAATTATTTTTCTCTTGATATGCAAAAAGTGACAATTAAAAATAAAAAATTAGTTTTGGAATACTTGACAATTAAAAGTGAACTGAAGAATTATATACCGACCGTATAAAGAAATTGAAATCTTTACATAAATAGTCGGTTCAAGTGTTTTACCTAGAATCATAGCCAAGGAAACAGGTTCAACTTCAGGGCATTGAGGAGTAATAAAAGGGCCAAGAACCCAAGCATGATTCACACAAACAAGATCGTCCATTTTTTTCTGCAAAATTTAAAACAACTTTTTCTATTAAGGTCTTACTTATTGAGTAAAAAGCTCCTAAAGGGTTCAGCTTTTTGATAAAATCAATATCACTCCACGAACTTTCGTCTACTACATCTGGACCCTTATCAAGAATTTCTTGGATGCATTTGGTGAATTTTCCTCCTTCTGGTGGCATAGCAATGCATGCTCCAAGTTCACAAAAAGGGAAAGTTAATTTTATTCTCCTTTACTAAGGGAAAAGAGTTAAAGCGCAGTCCAGTGCGCAAAGCATTCCGCATCCAAGCAAGGTGCGGAAAAGGACCGAACCTCAAAGGGTATGACGTAGACAATCTACACCAATGCAAGCATTAGTGGCTACTAAAAAAAAATACCCTTCTTACTATATATAATATCTTAATTTTATTCTCCGTTACATTTTGTGGCCCATGCATATTCTTGTCCTTAGCATAATTGTCTCGTATTTGTTTTTGACGCTAACGAAACTCTAACCTGATGTATATATACAATATAATTTAAGCCATGGTGCACCATTCATATCATGAGTGCTTTTGTCTCTTCGAGACATTAAAAGGACAGCCCTCTCTTCAAAAGTAGAGGGATAAATTTGGATATTTTTCCTGAAGTACTTTGACACGTGGTATTCATATACATTAGAGCTCCATCAAATCAAGATAAATACGAGACAATTTGCTATCCATAAAGAATGTCCTCAAAGTATATAAAGAAGAGTAAAATTAAGAAAACAAGTCATAGTTTCTTGTTCTTTCTCATTAAGAAAATCAAGGCCTTCTCATTCTTCTCCATATTTTCTTCTTCTTTCTCTTTCCTTTTGATTCTTCTATCTTATTCTTAGTTTGACGTATATTTATGTGTATGTATGTATATGTAAACATGTCAGAAAACAAGAAGTTGCTGATACACGTGTTGTTTCAGGTATAAGTTTTATATACTAATCAAGTAAGCAGAAGATGTTACTTAACACCTAAATTATTATAACTATATATCATAATGAAGAGGGTATGAGGTTAAAACCTAATAAACTGACGACAATCTATAACATATAAGTATAGTTTGCTAACCTAGCTATAAAATATGTAACCAATTACGACCAGTAAAAGTAATAAGTTGATAGTGAACAGACCAAATTATGTGCACTTGAATCCTTAAAAAAGATTATTACCACTAATCAAAGGCATATTACACCCAATAAATAGAGCAATTTTCACATACATGGAAGCAAACAAATAACACATTGGTAACTTGTGAAACTCAAAAATAACTATACAAATCGGAGTTGAGGCTTTCTCTATGCAGTGATAGTGAAACCAATTCACAAGTCATATTATCTATATTTATCTATCTATATAATTATAAAAGCACGAATGTTGAAAGCTAAATGTTGAACGACTAAAATATTCTCAAGATATTGATCGACTTTTATGCCCTTAATTATTTACATTAATCTTCACAAGAAAAGAACAAAACTGAAAATACACCCGCTAAGATGACAAGTTATAATAGAATAGGAATTTAACACCAGGAATTTTGATATATACGCGATCAACTAAGTCCATCTAATTTAATTTGGGTATATGTAAGACTTCCATCATACGGAAACCTCTTTACGTTAACTATATTAGCTAAGAAAAGCAGTCACAAAAATTATCAAATAAGTATTGTGTACATGCTAAATTGTGTTTGGATACTGATTTGTTTGTCCCAATAGGACAACTAATATAAACGCTTCTTCAATTTTCTTCGCAAAGTACACGTTTTTCATGCTAATAATTAAGTTGTGTTTTTTTTTAATATATATTTGTTCTTACTAATGATGATTAGTTATCATGTTTTTCTCATTTATTTTATTTTTTGCTTTTTAAATTCTTTTTTCAGCATAAAAATTTTGATATCCCATGTAGTCTAAGATATTCGCTAAGACAAAGAAACATAAGATTAGGAATATTTTTATATAGCTTATTCTGCTAAAGACCCCGGGAACAAGGTTAGTAAGATCTCTTATATGATGGAATCTATAAAATATCTTTGAGGACTATGGCTGAGTTATATGATTTTTGTATTTTGAGATGAGTTGTTCCATATAATAACTATTAGTATATTAGAATGCTAAATATCGAATCACAAATGTATTTTCAAAATATTAACCATCTATTATGCTCTTCTATAATTAAATTATGCCGATCTATAAAAACGTACTAAAAAGTTATCTAAAAATTGGACTCTGGAAATTTATCATAGAATTCAAAATACTATAGGATTTTTCTACGTGAAATAGGCACATAATTAAACTAATTACTGTAGCTTAGGAATTTGCAAATTTCACATCACCCGACTTTTCACAAGTATGCCTATTCGTCAAAAAACGTACGCATAATAACGTGCAATATACAAAATTTACAAACATATAGTATCAATTTTCTTTCACACGAATTTTTACTTAATAATGACTAGCGAAAGATATACGTGCAACGCACGTACATAGAGACTAATTATTATAAAAGCATGAATATAATGTTGGTTTACCAAAATATTCTTAAAATTATGAATTACTTTTTAAAGCATGTTAGACAAAATTGTCATATTAATAACTTTCCAAATATGTAGGACTTTCAATTCAATTACACTTTTGTATTCATAGAAACTTTTTTACTGTCTTTTAGCCACTCGAATAGATTCCCATAATAAGGGCTAAAAAGCAAGAACGTGACCTTAATTTGTTGGGGGGAAAAAAACTTTAATTTATTAGTAATTAGTTTTAGGAGTCTTTTTTCCTATTGAGGCTAATGTCAAGTACTAATCCAAAAAACAGAAAAATAAGTATTAAAAAACTATATTAGTTCGAAATAGTTTCAAAAAATTTGATTTCTTAATGCAAGCAGGCTCCAATACAAGTGTAGTCAAATCCAGAAAAACAAATTGCAATAAAAAGGAGGCTCCAATTACAAATGTAGTCAAGTCCAAAAAACAAATCGCGATAGAAAAGGAACTAAAAAGGCGCAGTCATGGACTTATTAATGTCTTTCTTTTTCTGAAGAGTTTTAGGTCATATATATTGGTAGTACAAAGTTTTTTTTTTTTTTTTTTTTTTGCATTATAAGTGAATTTCACATTTTAGTTAGTACTTTTATTAGATTATCAATTGATATTTAAATCATATATATTGATAGTGCAAAATTTCTTCTCTGCATTATCAACTAACTTCGCATATTAGTTAGTATTTTTATTCGATTAACCATTAATTTTGATCAGAAAATTTATCTATAATTACTAAAAAATGATGTGATTGTGTAATTGGAAAAAATTGTCACGACCCAATTCCCATACCCGGTCGTGATGGCGCCTCTCGTGAAGACAAGGCCAGCCAACTAACCCAAATCCTTTCACTAACAATTATTAAACATAAATGAATAGAAGATACAACTTAATGGCATTAGAAACTGTTAATTACTACCCGACCGGGGTGTCACAAGTCACGAGCATCTAAGGAAACCTTAACACAACTACAGGCCAATAAATATATATAAGTAAAATTTCTGGAAAACAAAGACAACATCCGGTGCCGCGAACGCTGGCGGTCACCTTGCTCAACTACAATAACAATACCTTCAATCCGCTAATAACCCGCTACCGGGTGAACGATACCTGCAACTGCACGCGAGGTGCAGGGAGTAAAGTGAGTACTTCCAACTCAGTGAGTAATAAACATATATAATGTCTGAAAGTAAGAAATTCCGAAATATTACAATATAAAGCTATAATCAGCGATTCAGCACATAAAACGGTGGAACAACAACAATACCAGGACAAGTAAGACAAATAGGTATAAATGCATGAATGCAATGCAATGCACATGACTGTTGCGGCGCGCAGCCCGATCCATTTGAGTACTCGCGCTCACTGTGGGGGTTCAGACTCCGGAGGGGCTCCTACAGCCCAAGCGCAATATCATCGTAGCATTCGCTGCGGCGTGCAGCCCGATCCACACTCAGTCCAGATATATATATGCATGCAAGCCACTCGGGCACAGTCAAATTGTTCATTTTTAGTTTCAATTATTAGGAATTATAGAGCTAAGTGTTTAAACCTTTATTTATTTACTAAACATTTCGAGGCAGTGTCTAACTCAGGACTGATATCATGAAATATGCTAAGTATCATGGAAGCAGTGATAAGGATCCCTGAAGGATGCAAATGATAGGCACAAAGCCCCAAACATATTCATAAAATCCAAGTAGGATGATTACCAAACAATTTCTAGTCAAGAACACAATACGAACATCAATCGGAACGGACTAGGTCACAATCCCCAGTCACAATCGACCCCGCACTCGTCATAGAGTACGTGTCTCGCCTCAATATAGCGTCACAATGTGATATACCGGAGTTTCAAACCCTCAGGTCATCATCTACATCTATTACTCACCTCAAGCCGGCCACAAGTCTAGCTCGCTATGCCTTTGCCTTCCGAATCAACCTCTTCGCACGCCAAATCTGATTAAAACCACAACGAATACATTACAATAGGCTAAAGAAACATAACCCAATCGAAAAGACTCGAAAAACACCAAAATTCACTAAGTTGGCAAAACCCGAGTCCCGGGCGCTCTTCTCGAAAAATTACGAAATTTATATCACTGGATTCCTCGTCTCGCCACGAGTCTACACATACCAATTTTACCAAAATCGGATTTCAAATGCCCTTTCAAAATCCATTTTTACATCACAGCTTTCCAAGCCCTAGCTTGACCCGTTTTTGATGAATTTTCCACAATTTACATGTAATTTCTACCATAAACTCGAATAATTAGGCCAAGAGACTTACCTCCAATTGATTGTCAGTCAAAACCCTAAAAAATCCTCGCCCAAAGCTCTCCAAGTCGCTTAAAAATGGTGGAAACTACCTCTTGTTCGCGGATGAAATATAATATTTTAAACCCTTCTGTCAACAGCGATTTTTCGCTTATGCGGTCCCGCTTCTGCGGCAAAAAATCCGCTTATGCGGTCTTCACTTAAAATCCCAGACTTCGCTTATGTGACTCGAACTCCGCTTCTGTGGTTCTCTCAAAATTGCTTCTGCGGTACGATGTCCGCTTATGCGGACCCGCTGAAGCGACCAACTTCCGCTTATGCGGAACTACCCTAACCCACACCCGGC